TGGCTCCTGCTGTGAGGATCCCGCATCTCCTCATCCCCGGGCACACAGAGAGCCCAGCAGGAAAAGCCCAGGGCAGAAATTGGGGAGGGTCTGAGACTGAAAATCAAGGGCAGATTGTCCCCAGCAGAGGAGGGGACACAGGGGACGAGCACGGGAGGATTCCCATCCTTTGGCAGCCCCGTTTGGTAAAATCTCCCTGTTAAACCCAGCTCTGGGAGAGCTCCGGAGGGGACCAGCACTCACCTGGCCGGGAGCAGAGCTGGGGACACCGGGGAGGGACCTGCGGGGGTGTAAAACCCAGCCTGGGGACCGAGCTCACATACGGGGACACGGGGGAGGAACCTGCGGGGTGTAAAACCCAGCCCGGGGGTTTAAACCCAACCTGGGGCGTAAAACCCAGTCCGGGATGTAAAACCCAACCTGGAATATAAAACCCAACCTGGGGACGGAGCTCACACACGGGGACACCGGGGAGGGACCTGCCGGGATATAAAACCCAGCCCCGGGGACACCGAGAGCCTCCAGCGCTCCCCGTGGAGACCGGGCTGGACACGCTCACCTGGCTGCTCCCCTCGGGATGGAAAAGCCAAAGGGATGCAGCCCCTGCTGCGTTTCCTGCTGCTTTTAAAGAGGATTTCTCTTTCCTCTCGGATTTACCTGCACAGGGGATGGACAAGGCGAGCAGTGCAGGGAGAAATTTGGGAAGGTATTGTGGAAACGAGAGAAATATCAAGGGCTGAGCCAGAGATTTGGGAATGTTCAGTGCAGAGAAGCATCAGGAGCAGAACCAGGGGCTCTTGTACCTTTCTGCTCCACAGGAATATTTTCAGGCCAGGCAGAGAGGGAACTGCAGCTGCCTAACGCAGGGTTAGTGTGAAGGGGACAGGTGACAAAGCTGCCCCCGTGTTGGGGACTGCAGGAGGAGACACATCCAACCCCCCAGCCACGGGCTGAGGAGCTCGGGGACAGCTCTGGGGACACAGGGAAGGGGACAGCAGGACATCAGAGAGGAGCCTCGGAGCTCTGTGCATCCCAGAACGATGGAGCCAGGCTGGGGCTGGAACAGCTCCCACCAGAGCTCACCTGGGCAGGGCCAGGGGCTGCTGAGCCTGGCAGGTGACCCCAACCTGACAGTGCTGCACACCCGGGACGAGGAGCTGGCCAAGGCCGAGGTCGGGGTGCTGGGCACCATCCTGGCCGTGGCCACCGTGGGCAACCTGGGCGTGCTGCTGGCCATGTACCGGCTGAGGAGGAAGATGAGCCGCATGCACCTCTTCATCCTGCACCTGGGGCTCACCGACCTGGCCGTGGCCCTGTTCCAGGTGCTGCCCCAGCTGCTCTGGAAGGTCACCTACCGCTTCCTGGGGCCCGACCCGCTCTGCAGGGCCGTCAAATACCTGCAGGTGCTCAGCATGTTCTCCTCCACCTACATGCTGATGGTGATGACCCTGGACCGTTACCTGGCCGTGTGCCACCCGCTGCAGTCGCTGCAGCAGCCCGGCCGCCAGGCTTACGCCATGATCGGGGCCACCTGGCTGCTGAGCTGCCTGCTCAGCCTGCCCCAGGTGTTCATCTTCTCGCTGCGGGAGGTGCGCCCGGGCTCGGGGGTGTTGGATTGCTGGGCGGATTTCGGCTCCGCATGGGCAGCGCGCGCCTACATCACCTGGACCACGCTGTGCGTCTTCGTGCTGCCCGTGGGAGTCCTCAGCGTCTGCTACAGCCTCATCTGCCACGAGATCTGCAAGAACCTCAAGGGCAAAACGCAGAGCGGTGCCCCTGGCACGGGGGGAGCCGGGGTTGGTGGCCCCAGCGCCGCGGGGAAAGGCGGGCAGCCCTCGCGGGTCAGCAGCGTGCGCACCATCTCCCGAGCCAAGATCCGCACGGTGAAGATGACCTTCGTCATCGTGGCCGCCTACATCACCTGCTGGGCGCCCTTCTTCAGCGTGCAGATGTGGTCGGTGTGGGATGAGGATGCTCCTGATGATGGTGAGTGGTGAGGGGAATGGGGCACAGAGAGCTGGGAAGGGCAGGAATGCGGTTGGGTTTTTAATAAATGAAAGATGTCCTGTCATCTTGTCATTTCAAAGAAAAAAATCGTAGGGAAGGTTGCATTACCGGTTCCTCCCCGGTAATGCTTATAAAATACAATTTTCAGAGTCAAATCATTCCTTTCACCAGAAAAAAAAAAAAAACCAAAAAACAGAATTGACGATTTCTGGCCAGCATCCATAGGGATGTGCAAAGACATCTTTGCCATGTGTGCCTTTCCTCCGGGAATTTTCAGAGGTTTCACAAGTGGATTTCTGAGTTCATATGTTGAATTTGTATCCCTGTAAATCTTCATTAGTTTTCCTAACACCCAAGACCTAAAGTCGTCTGGGAGATGCTTTGGGCAGCAAAGAGGCTGAAGGAGAGCCCAGAAGCTGCAGGGTCTCACCTGTTGGAGGATGTGCCGCAGCACATTCACACTGCAGAACCTGAAGAGTTCTCTGTGAACCTTCCAGCCCCCAGGAATGCCAAAGGGCCGGGAATGTGAGCCAGGAGAGCTCCCAGTCCTGCCCAGAGCCCAGTGGCCACTGCCCAGCCCCCCGGGCACATTTCATCTCTCCCTCTTGCCTTGCCAGACTCCACCAACGTGGCTTTCAGCATCACCATGCTGCTGGCCAGCCTCAGCAGCTGCTGCAACCCCTGGATCTACCTGTTCTTCAGCGGGCACCTCCTGCAGGACTGCCGGGGCTGCTGGGGCCGCCCCCGGGCCGGGCTGCGCAGACCCAACTCCACCGGGAGCCTGTGCAGCAGGAAAACCACGATCCTGAGCCACAGCCACCAGGCCGGGGTGTCCCTGCACGGGGACAGCGCCAGGGAGCTGTACCCGCCCTGCGACGAGGGAGTGACAGAGTCGGGCACGCTCTGAGGATGCGGCAGCTCCAGATGTGGCACGGCCAGATGTGGCACCGCCCGCTCTGTCGCTGCAGAGAGCCGCTGTCCCCGCCTGGTGGCACCGCGCTTTGCCGAAATCCGGATGTTTCACCCCCCAAAAGCGTGGCCGTGAGCCTTGTCCTCGCTGTCGCACACGCCGGGTGTGCTGTGACCGCCCGGGGATGGACAGAGCCCCCCCTCCACAGCATCCACCCCCCTCGTGTTTGGGGACACTTCTGGCTGCTCTTCTCCGGGAAGGGATCCCGAATCCTCCGGGAAGGGATCCCGAATCCTCCGGGAGCAGGGGACCCTGCATCCTCCGGGAACAGGGGATCCTGACTCCTTCAGGAAAGGATCCTGACTGCTTCAGGAAGGGACCCTGAATCCTTTGGGAACAAGGGACCCTGAATCCTTCGGGAACGGGGGATTCTGCATCCTCAAATCCCTCCTGGAGGCACTGGAGTTTCGTGTTCCAGCCGAGCAGCCGGAGCACAGCAGGCGGCAAGGCGGCTCCATCTGCTGCAGAGCTCGCTGCTGTTTCCTCCTCTCACGCTCCCCCCGCGGGGCTGCTGAGCTCCTCTGGCCTGGAAATGTCCCCCTGCCCCCGCCCCGGTGCTGGGCACAGCTGTCCCGCACTGTGCTGTGCCCGCTGGAGCGCCCCAAATGGGGCACTGGCACCCCCAGGAGCTGCTGGGAGCAGCCCTGGCTCTGCTCCAGCCCAGCTGGGCACGTCCTGACTCCCCCTGTGCCCCCTTCCCATCATCTTCTCCCCCAGCCCCATCCCGTGTTCAGCATCTGCTGCTGCTTTTTTTTTTTTTTTTTTTTTTTTTTTTTTTTTTTTTGGCTGATTTTGCAGGGATCAAGAGCCCAAAACCAGCCGGGGCTCTGGGAGCAGGGAACTCCCCTGAACCCCAGCCTGGCCCCTGCCCTGCTCCCAGGACAGTTTAGTGCAGGAATAAAATCCTGGATGGGGCAGGAAAGAGCATCTGAGCTCTGGCAGTCGAGCTCAAAAGCTGCTGAAGGTGTCCCAGCAAAGGTTCCAAATTCCCTGTGAGCCATGGGCGTTATTCCTTCCACTACCACGGGCTACAGCTGTAAAAATAAGACATTAGGAGTAAAATATTTTGAAATCTTCAATATTTTCACTTTTTACTTGCCACGCATTTGAAGCAGATTTCTCAGCAGCTTCCACTCACTGGTTTTGGCCTCAGCTCCAGTTCCATCATCACACCCCTCCTGGGTTTTCCAGCGTTACCCAGGAATTGTTGGGGTGTTTGGAATGTTTTCCTTCACGTGCCCTTTGGGTTGGGCCAGATCTGCACCACAAGGTCGTGAAGCCAGGAGTGCCTGGCTCCCCCTGCCACTGATCAATTCCCAAATCAATTATCTCCCAACCTTCCATTAAATCACAGCCTTGCTGAGCCCGTTTAAAGCACACTTGGGGCAGCTCCAGCCCTGAGGAAGAGGGGGCTGTGCTGGGAGGCAGCAGCTCCATCCCCCTCACACAGCTCCCACTGGGCACCATTCCCATTCCCAGGCACTTTGGAAGTTTATTTCTGGAAAATTCGGAAGTAACAAAATGCAGAATGAGGAGAAGGGACATGGCCCAGGTGGGGAGACACCGACCCCAGCACCCGGAGCAGGGACAAAGCAGGGAAAGCAAAAAGTGAGGGAAAAGCCAGTGGAAAATCTGTATTTAAAATGATTTTATGAAGCTGATGAGCAAAGCACCATCATTGAGAGGAGCTGCCAGCCAGCTCAGTGGGGATTTTGAGGATCACTGCATCTCCCTCCCTGAACTGCCCACTGTGAGAGGCGAGGTGGGGGGGATATTTCTTTTCATGAAATGAGGGGGAAAAAAGCCATGACACAAAAGCGGAGCTGATGGCAGCCGGGCTGGCTGGAACCCTGCCCTGCCCCACCCTGCAGCCCTGGGGAACAGTGCTGCCTTTAAGGAAAACGCCAAGGAAACCGTGCCTGCGGGTCGGGGCGGTACAAGCGGTGCTGCCCGTGCCAGGCAGTGCCCCAGGGGAAGGGGACAGTGCCAGCTGTGCAGCTGCTGGGGGCTCTGGGCACCTCTGAGCAGCCTCACCCTGGTGTGACAGCCTCACGTTACTGTCACAGCCTCACATCAATGTCACAGCCTCACATCAGTGTCACAGCTTCACCTCGGTGTCACAGCTTCACCTCGGTGTACTCCACACCCTTGGATGCCCTGGGGCTGGAGAAGGGCCAGAAATGAATTTTCTTCCTCTTTGGGTCCACGTTGACGTAATCCATCCCAGTCTTGAGGTTCTCGTAGTCCTGGGCAGAGCCTGGCTCGTGGCCGTGCCCTGGGAACACCAGGGATGTGTAATGGATGTTTTCCCCTGAGCCAGGGCCCTGCAGGAGCAAAATGAAGCCCAGGTCAGCCCCAGCACCCACCAAGGAACCTTTGCCCTCGAACCCATGCACCAGTTCAGGAATCATGGAATGGGTTGGGTTGGAAGGGACTTTAAAGCCCATCCCATTCCCCCTGCCATGGCAGGGACACTTCCCACTGTCCCAGGCTGCTCCAAACCCATCCAGCCTGGCCTTGGGCACTGCCAGGGATCCAGGGGCAGCCACAGCTGCTCTGGGCACCTGTGCCAGCCCTGCCCACCCTCAGAGAGAAGATTTTGTTTCCTGATTTTCCTAAAGTACCCAGGGATGCTTCCCTCTGAATGGGGGACGCTGCGTGTGACAGGGAACAACAACCAGCCCGGCCATAATTCCATAATTATTTATGGAATTTCAGCGTGCTTTGATAGATTTGCCCCTCCTGATGCTGCTCTGGGGGGTCTCAAGCTGGACACCCAGGTGGGCTGGGGATGTTTTTGCCCGTGGTACCTGAGGGGAGGAAGGGCTGTCCGAGTCCTCTGAGGTTTCTGAAGATGTGTCACTTCTCCCTTAAAAACAGGAAACATTTACCACCCCAGCACTTCCCAGAGAGTTAAAGGGCAAAAAGGATCAAAGGAAAAAAAAGCAAACGTGCTCAGGAGTGAAAGTTCTGATCCATAGGCATCATTTTGATCCCTCCCAGCCTCATTTCCCTGGGAGAAACGGGGCAGGAGCAATGGGAAGGGGAGGCAGCTCCTGCTCTGTCCTTCACCCACCCCCTGCTCCCACCCCCGGGGCGTTCACGGCTCCTCAGGAAGAGACATCACACAAATGCCACCCAAAAATTCCCATCCCTGTGCCAGGACAATGCCCCACTGCTGCAGCAGCCCCTTACCTGCATAGGCTGGTGGTGGATTTTGTGCCCCGGGTTTTTGTGCCACGGGTTTTTGTGCCCCGGGTTTTTGTGCCCCGGGTTTTTGTGCCGTGTCCCCTCCTGGTGCCGAGGCTGGAGCTGGGCTGGGGTGAGGGCTGGGATGTTCCCCAGGGCTGCTCCTCACCTGCATCCCACAGGAAAGCTGGGCTGTGAGAGAGAGGAGAGTGAGCCCAGCACACCCCAAAATCATCATTTCAGGCTCATTTCCATAAATCCAATTACTGACAGGATCCAGGGCCCTGCTCTCCCACCAGGAGAGGCTCCAGTGACAAATCACAGTGCCAGGGCCTCTTCCTGCAAATTTGGAATGATTTTGACCCAAAGCAGAGCTGGGCTTTGTACAAATGTGAGCAGCAGTTGGCATGAGAGAGTTCCCTGCTAGAAATTGCAGCTTCAGCTGGATTAAAACTCTGTGAGCTGATTCTTGGGATTTTAATTGAAGAGCAATGAAAGAGAATGGTTTTGAAGCAGCACAGCCCTCACTGATGTGCCCAAGCTCACAGCCAGCCCGGAGCAGCAGCTCTGCAGCTCAGCCCTGCCCTGCCCCTTTGCCATCCCACACCAGGAAATCACCAGGGAAAGCCAGGTTTTAATTACCAATTTTCCTGCTGAGCATGATGTAAAAGGTCAGCAAGAGGAGAGCGTAGAGCACCGAGGTGACAAGTGAGGTGGCAGCAGGAATCCAGCTGAACGAGAGAAAAAACATCCAGTCCCACAGAAATCACCAAATTCTTGTCAACCCCCATCGCTTCAGGGCACATTTTAGACTCAGGTTTGCTGGGAGCTTTCGGTTTTGCTTTTTGGCTTTGGGGTGACGTGCCCCAAAACTCGGGGCTTGTTTTTTTTCAAGAATGGTTTGAGTTCCTCGCCCTTCATTTTTGGGGGACTGAAGGGTTTTAAAACCCCAGAAGGGTTTTCTAAAAACCTCATTGCCAGGGAGGGAATGTGGAGCTGGAGGGGAGAAAGGCATTACAGGCGTGATGGAATTATAGAATCGTGGAATTTTGGGATGGGTTGGGTGGGAAGGGAACTTTGTGCCATGAGCAGGGACATTTTCAGGCAGAGCAGGGCTGGGATGGTCCCAGGGGTGCTGTGAGGGGCTCTGTGCCCCAGGGTGCTGCACTCACCACGGACAAGAGCTCATCATCCTGCCGAGGGGCTGGGGGGACACACAGAGGCAGCAGGACCTGGTGGCAACCCCAAAAAAAAATTATCCCATTGAGCCTCACGCTGCTCCACACGAGCTGGAGATCAGGCTCAGCACTTGGAGGCAGTGGTTGGATGTTGCAGATGTGAAATAAAGGGTTTTTATTTTATCCCAGCCCTCCCCCTGTGAGAATCCCTCTGGTTCACACCCTCACAGAGCTCCCTTATCACTGAATTAATGGCTTTATACACGGTCATATCTGAGACTTGTCTGGGCTTCCCGGGCTCTGCTGCAACAGAATTGAAATTTATTCTTCTTGCTTTAATCCTGTCTCACGGTTTTGGTTTTGTTTCTTTTTTGCCTTTTGCTCTTTTTAATCCACCAAAAAAAAAAA